TCTTCTAACCCACTCCACTATTCACCTCCCTTTCTACCTGCTTCCAAGTTGTCCACTTTAATTCTTGGGAAGCTGTATAATTTGTACTGCATATCAGATCAAGTACTTGTTGAATTGACTCATCCACAAAGTTTCAAACATGTGGGCATTTAATTAAAGCTTTGCCTGATGATTTCAACAGATAAAAATGGGGAGAATTCTGTGCTGTAATAACCCTGTACGAGCATCACAGTCTGGTTAGGAGAGGTCACAGACTAGACTAGTACAAGTCCACCCACGTGGGAAGTGGTCAGCCATCAGAGGCCTTCCAAAATGTGTAGCAGAGTGCTAACCAGGCAGCTGGCACTCAGAAAGTTCAAGAAACGAAAGAAACTAGCTGCCTCACTGTGTCTTCCATTTCCAAATTACTCCCTTCCCACAAATAATTTTTGAGTCTGAAACACTGCTTTTCAAACAGAATGTTTCTGCTAAAAATGTCTTTTTAAGACACCATAAATGTGAAGTGAATACTTTCCTCTTATTTACACATCTGTTCTGGCTGAACACAATCTAGAGGAAATTTATAAAAGGAAAACTTCCTTTTGTCCATATTACTGCTCTCCTCCTGAGCGCTCCTCAGAAGCTTAGGAAATAAGTTCTGAAAGCAAATGTTTCCTCTGTCCCTGCAAAGGGAAAAACCTGGGGCCTCTTGACCTATAAAATGCAATATTTTAGAACATCTGTAATTCTCCCAAGTCTGTGCCAGTCAAATAGAGTCTCCCTTCAGCAGACCACTGGCCAGCTGGGGCTGGACAGCAAGGCCTTCACCCCTAGGAGTGGACAAGGATAGAACTCAAAAGCTCCCTGGGGGGGGAGGGGGGGTCTCTACTTCAGCTTGCATTACAAACTGTTGGAAAAGACAGATGGAGGGGATGACAGGAAAAGCAATTATTTCTTCTGGGCTTCCTTTTTGTCTGGATTCTAAGGAGACGAGTACAAAATTCCATCACAGATTGAAATGCTATCTAAACATTCTTGAAAATGTGGTCTTGCTCTCTGAAATATGACCTGCTCTGCAGCAACCTGTAACCTATTAACATGTGAGGTGAGGAGGCCGACATTCCTGCAGGCTGTTTAACTCTGGGCCTGACTCTCCAACACTGCTAGCTTGTGACCACAGGTTAAAACATAACTAATAAAAGATATGTATCTACATAGCATGACCCAACACAATTGTCTTGCTGAATCATTTACTTTACTTTCACATTCTTGGAATTGTAAATACCTGAGACTCGCTTAGGTGTATTAAGGTTCCTAGTGAGCCATTCTAAATACAGGCTGAATCACAATAGACAGTAGCGCTATTATTTCAAATAGTCGTTAAGTTGGGACTAGTTATACACAAACCAAGTTCTAAACACCTGGAAAGAAACATACACAATGATCAAAGTGATGTTTTTATGGTAAAGAGCTTTTGTTTATTTACAATTAACAAATAATCTCACACAGACCAAATATTCCATGAGTTCTGAGAAAAATGAAGATGGAGATTCAGTTCTTGCCTCAAGGAGCTTATAAACTAGTCAAGGGGACAAGATGTGTTCACTAGCAAGTCAAAGGAGACCAGGAAAGCCAAATGAAAAGTACCAGCACAGGGCTGTGGGAGTCTTCAGGTGGAAAGAAAATATATTTAATTAACCAAGGGATACTGGGATCAATTTTCTCATCTGTAAAGAGAGAGGAGTGGACCAGATGAGTTCCAAGTCCCTTCTAGTCCTGAAATTCTGATTCCTTTGGCTTATCTAGTTAAGCTAAATCAAAAATTTCATGAAAGGAGTATTTGAACTGGGCCTTAGATGGGTTAGATTTTGAAATGAAGCTACTGAAAGAAAAAGAGAAGAGAGAGCATTTTCGGCAAAAGGAAGAGCATAATCATGGTCCAGAAGCACTAAGTCTTCAGTATGGATGAAGCACAGGAGACAAAATTGGAAAGGTAGACTGAGGTCTTGAATGCCAAGCAAAGGAACTTGGGTTTAATTTAGTGGACAGAGACCACTGAGGTTTCTGAAGACAGATGACATGGCCAGACATACAGCAGGACCTCATCTGTCAGAGAAGCAAAGTTTCACTGGAGAAACCTAAACAGATAAAACAAAGCAACAAGGACTAAAAATAATGCAAGGATTAGGAAACAGAAGCAGTTTTAAAGATCTATTATGTCTAGACACAAACAGTGATGGTGACAACAAGGAAGAAGGTAGAGTACTTACAAATAGACCAATGGAAGATGATTACTAGGAGGAAAAGAAAGTCATAAAACGTAAGAACAATAAAGAAATGGATAAAACTGAATATGTAAAAGAGATTCAACATATGTGAGCTACTAGCAGAGAAAACAAGAATATCAGATGAGAAAATTTCTACACAGGATTACACTACCCACCCACCTTCTAAAAATCTGGGCAGCATAATTAACATTTTAAGAAATCAGTTCTAGCCCTGGCCAGTTTGGCTCAGCGGTTAGAGCGTCCGCCTGCGGTCCGGAGAGACCCGGGTTCGGTTCCCGCTAAGGGCACGTACCTCGGTTGCAGTTTGTCCCCTGCCCTGGTTGGTCATGCGGGTGGCAGCCACTCGATGTGTCCCTTTCACATCAATGTTTCCCTCTCTCTCTCTTCCTCTCCTTCCCTCCCACTCTGTCTGTACAAAAAATGGAAAAATGTCCTCGGATGAGGATAAAAAAAAAAAAAAGAAATCAGTTCTACTGACTGACAGCTATCAGAGGGGAAAGGGTTGAAGGACTTGGTGAAATGGGTAAAGGGGCATCAATGGTGACAGATTTGACTTGGGGTGGTGAACACACAATACAATACACAGATGATGTATTATAGAATTGTACACTTAAAACCTATATAACTTTATTAATCAATGTCACCCCGATAAATTCAATAAACACTTTTTAAAAAAGCAATCAGCTGTACTAAAAAATGTCAAACAGGACAAACAGAATTGAAGCTATTATTACAAAGGTGCACACCCGACCTAACTGAATTAGTACTGGAAGGGGAGAACCAGACACTGCATGAGAGGAAGACTAGAAAAGGCGCATTCAGCATTTCTGTTAGATAGCAATTTCTGAAATACGATGCCTAAACAGAAAAATAAAATCCAAAGGAAAATGGTTAATAGATAACATCTGGCCCCTGAATCAATGAAGAATATATCCTCCTCATATACTTTTTCCCTTCATTCCCTTCCAACAGCCCTCCTTAGCTAGATCCAAAGGAAATGTAAAACTCTGAAATGAGTCTACCGTTACCTGTTTGCCAATAAAACCACGTATGAGAACTGTAGCTATGTCACATTACTATCTTTTTTTTTGCAATATATACATTTTATTTTCATCCTGAGATATGTGTGTGCGTATTTTTTTTTAGAGAGAGAGAGAGATAGAAGCATTGATGTGAGAGAACCATTGATTGGCTGCCTCCTGCATGCCCCCTACTGGGGATCGAGCCTGCAACCCAGGCATGTGCCCTGACCAGGAATCAAACTGGGACCTCTCAGTCCATGGGATGACATTCAATCCACTGAACCACATTAGCTGGGCCCATCTTGATTGTTTTACTGTATTATGTTAAAATACACATAAAATGTATTATCTTAACCATTTTTAATTGAATGTATTAAGTACATTCACTTCTTTTGTGCAGCCATCACCACCGTCCACCCTCATAATTCTTTACATCTTGCAAATCTGAAACTCAACACCCATTAAACAATAACTTTCCATTCTCCCCCAGCCCCTGGCAACTATCATTATACTTCTGTCTTTATGATTTTCACTACTCTAAATACTCCTTATAAGTGGAACCATATCGTATTTTTTTGTGACTAGACTATTTCATTTAGCATAATGTCTTCAGGTTCATCCATATTATAGTATGTGTCAGAATTTCTTTCCTTTTTAAGGCTGAATACATCCCACTGTACACATATACCACAGTTTGCTCATCCATTTATCTGTCAATGGACACTTGCTTCTACCTTTTACATATTGTGAATAATACCGCTGTAAACATGCTGTACAAATGTCTCTTCAAGACTCTGCTTTCAATTCTTTTCAGTGTATACCCAGAAGTGAAATTGCTGGATCATATGGTAATTCTATTTTTTAAATTTTTTGAGGAACCTCCATACTGTTTTACACACAGCTGTATCATTTTACATTCCACCAACAGTGCACAAGGGTGCCAATGTCTCCATATTCTCACTAACAGTTGTTTTCTGTTTTGTTTTGCTTTTACAGTAACCACCCCACTGGGTGTGAGGTTGTATCTCGTTGTAGCTTTGATTTGCATTTCCCTAATAATTAGTGGTGTCGAGCGTGTCTTTCATGTACTTAGTGACTGATCTATCTTCTTCATAGAAATGTCTCTTTAAGTCCTGTGTCCACTGTTAATTGAGCTGTTTGGTTGCTTTTGTTGCTGAATTTTAGGAGTTCTCAATGTATTCTGGATATTGATCCCTTATCAGATATATGATTTGCATATATTTTCTCTTATTCTGTAGGCTGCCTTTTTACTCTGTTGACAGTGTCTTTTGATGCACAGGTCACTGCTACCTTTTGTAGCAACAAAAGTAATACCAAAAGCCCAACAACTTAGCTGAGAGATAAAAGAAGCAACCATCTTTAGCCACAGTACACAAAACATAGGAGGGCACAAGAGACATCTGACACTAAGGATAAAGAGAAGGACATTTCAAGTTTCTCATTTTGGCTTGCATGCCCCAGCCTGGGTGAGCTGTGCTGACATGCCCCTGGCCCAAGGACACTGAGTGAAAGTTCATGGCTGGTCCGGGCAGCCTACCACTGTTATAGTGGAACAAGTCATGTACGTATCCTGCTGTGTATGGGACAGATCAATAAGAAAGTGCTCTGTAAGGAGGTGGTTCAACACTTGGTCATTGGGTTCTGAAGAAATTAGGGGAGTATAATTAATAGGGCAGAATAAGTTACTTACTTGCCGGCCATCTTGCCCCACATTTGTTTGACCTCTTACAACAGTTCGGATATTGTCATCCAGTCTCCTGGCAAAAGAATTAAAGGACACAAATCATGAAAATAATCTCTGTTCTAGGTTGACCAAAAGAATAAAAGGTAGTAATTTCTCCAGCAACTTGTGCGGATTGCACCCACTTGTCCAGAAAACCAAACAAATTTGAAAGATACAAGGAAGACTGAGGCCTTGGGCCCAGCTAGAGCAGCAACAGTAGTATCAGAAGCCAAGCCCAGCACAAACTGATGAGCTGTCTTTGTTTTTTTAAAACGGGATATTTGCACTTAATATCCAGAGCTGTCCAAAGGACCCATGTAACTTTTAGTATTTTTCATGTAGTCAACCAAAAATGAGAAAGTTGTTGAAACTTTATGGGAAGAAGTTAGAGAATTCAAATTACCCCACATACATTCCTTCCTCAGGAACTTCCTCCAGAACCTTAAAAGGGATAAGGAGCCAGGGTAATAGATGAAGTCAGTGTGTACCTGCTGGGCCCTGATTGTGCAACCTGTGTAGGAGACAGATCTGTCGCCTCCAGCTCCTCCTTCTCCTGTGGCTCAATGGGCCACTTAATGATGGCACCTCAACCAGAGAAATGTATTTTAGTCAATTCCATTTCTCATTTGAAGAATCCATTAAAGGTGTGGGGGCAGAAAGTGAAAAATAACTGGCTGACAAGTGATTTCTAGATCATCAGAGTATTTCCATTATCTGTGCAAACCCTGGACAACTTAGTGGTCTCCACTAGAACTGTTATAGCAAAAGTCCACCAAAACAATGAACAGGCTTCTTTGTACTTCCTAAGGCATCCAACTGAACAAAACATTAATAATAGAGATCTTCACCAAAAAATCCAAAGATTGTAAGAAAAAAAAAAATCTCCTGGATTAAAAATGAAGGCTTCTCCTCATCAAAACTTAATAAACAGCCTTGGCCCTGGCCGGTTTGTCTCAGCAGTTAGAGCATCAGCCTGCAGTCCAGAGTCTTGGGTTCAGTTCCCACTAAGGGCACATACCTCAGTTGCAGTTTGTCCCCGGCCCTGGTTGGGGTCGTGTGGGTGGCAACCAGTCGATGTGTCTCTCTCACACTGATGTTTCTCTCTCTTCCTCCCTCTCTCCCTCCCGCTCTATCTGAAGATAAATGCAAAAATGTCCTCAGGTGAGGATTAAAAAACAAAAAACAAAATCTATATTTAATGCCATAAACCATAATGGTAATAATTAACACTGAGTGTCTAACATGTGTCCAAACTGAAAATTCAGATGTGGACAAACCAGGAAAAGGCTATTGGGTAAGGACACTTGATGACCATCCTAGATAATCACATCCTAGGTTAATCACAATGTTTAATCTTAGGCCACCCCACCTATTTCAACCAACAGATCTGACCTCATTGATAGCTGGTATATTACCAAGGGATACACATATAAGTCCATAATCATATATAAGCCTTGGGAATACAAAAAAAAAAAAAGGCAAATCTACTAGGGGAATAAAGCCATTAAAAATACAGTAGAGCCCTGGCCAGTTTGGCTCAGCGGTTAGAGCATCGGCCCACGGACCAGAGAGTCCTGGGTTCGGTTCCTGCTAAGGGCACGTACCTTGGCTGCAGTTTGTCCACAGACCCGGTTGGGGTCGTGTGGGTGGCAACTGCTCAATGTGTGTCTCTCACATCAATGTTTCTCTCACTCTCTTCCTCCCTCTCTCCCTCCCACTCCATCTCAAGATAAATGCAAAAATGTCCTCAGGTGAGGATAAAAAAAATAACAGAAATGCCCTGGCCAGTTTGGTTCAGTGGTTGGAGCAGAGAGTCCCGGGTTCAATTCCGGCCAAGGGCATGTACCTTGGTTGTGGTTGGATCCCTGGTCCTGGTTGGGGTCATGCAGGAGGCAGCCAATCAATGTGTCTCTCTCACATTGATGTTTCTCTCTCTCCCCAACCTTCAATCCCACTCTATCTGAAAATTGATGGAAAAATATCCTCAGGTGAGGATTTAAAAATATATTTATATATATGTATATATATATATACACACACACATATATTGTATTAGAAATATATATTTTATTAGAAATATATATATATATTAGAAATGCTTTTGCCTCCTTTTACAATCAACTGTTTTGAATAGCCTGTTATAGTTTCCTTCCCTTTTGATAAATAAAGATTGATCAAAGAACTGAATTCTTTGCCACAAAATTCATATGAAAACCCAGATAAAAAGAATTATTTTTTTAAATTACCATCTGCAACAAACCTGAGACTTCAGCGTTCTCACAGACAAGTGTAATCTAGAGTGTGATTACCTAAATTAAGAGCATACTTTTCATTATTAATAATCATATAGTATTACTTACCTTATTTTCAGCCTAATCTTGTTCACAACTTCGTCTATGTTTGCCAGAGACTACAATAAAGAAGGAAAAGTGCCAGCTATTATTTCGCTTCCTGGAATTCCTCTTTTACAGGGAAATGATGAGCTATAATGGCTACTGATGACAACTCAGAAAATTTAACCATAGAGTACAATTCAATTTTTACTTAAAAAAAAAAAAATAGCCCAGCCAGTGTGGCTCAGCGATTGGGTGTCGACCCATGCTCCAAGAGGTCGCCGGTTTGATTCCTGGTCAGGGCACATGCCCAAGTTGTGGGCCAAATCCCCAGTGGGAGGCATGCAGGAGGCGGCCAATTGATATTCTCTCTCTCATCAATGTTTCTATCTCTCCTTCTCTTTCCTCTCTCTCAAAAATCAATAAAGAAAAAAAAAGTATAGTAGTAGTTAGCAACTACTGCAAAATCCAGCCTGGCATCTATATTTTGTAAATAAAGGCTTGGTTTTTTTTTTCTTTGTTGACTTAGAGGGAGAAGAAGGGAGAGAGAGAGAGAAATAGAAACATGAATGAGAGAGAACATTGATTGGCCGCCTCCTGCATCCCCCTCACTGGGGATTTGGCCCACAACCTGGGCATGTGCCTCTTGGTGCATGGGTTCACGTTCAACCACTGAACCACACTGGCCAGGCTGTAAATAAAGTTTTGTTGGAACACAGTCATGCTTATTCATTTACATATTATCTACAGCTGGCTGTGAGGTACAAAGGTAACTTGAGGAATTGCAACAGAGACTGAATGGTCCACAAATCCTAAAATATTTACTATCTATCCCTTTACAGAAAGTTTGCCTGACCCCTGGTATATAGAATCATAAAAAATTCATATCACAGCCCTGGCCGGTTTGGTTCAGTGATTGGAGCCTCGGCCTGCGGACCAGACAGTCCCGGGTACAGTTCCCGCTAGGGGCACATACCAAAAAATAAATAAATAAATAATTTTAAAAAATTCATATAACAAAGAAAGCAACAAAAAATGAATGAATATACACACAACATGGATAAATCTAACATGATGTTGTACACACACACACACACACATACACACATATACACACAGCTAGACAACAAGAACATATACTGTGGAATTCTATTTTTATAGTTCAAAAATGAGTGAAACTATTCTTTCATGTTAGAAGCTAAGGTAGTGGTTATTTTTGGGAGAGACAGTGACTGTGGAAGCAAGAGGGGGCCATATGAAGATGTTTTATTTCTTGATCTGAGTGGTGGTTACATGGCTGAATTCATTTTGTGAAAATTCATTAAGCTGTACACGTAAGATTTGTGTACTGTATGTTACACTTCAATCAGTCAATCAATCCATTTTTTTCTAAGTGTATAGGTTCACTGGAAAAAAGTTTGGAAGGATAAATACTAGTACTTATAATCTATACTAGTAGCTGGAATCTATGAAATCAGTTGTAATCTATGAAAAGAATTTAAAATTTTTCTTATCTGTGCCTGAATATATTCTTATTGCTCTATATTGACTATGCATTGCTATTGTAATTATAATAAAGTTATTTCTGTTCCTAAGATGACAATAAAAACAAATGGATTAGTTCCAACTTGCATGAGCAAAAAGTATGAGGAAATAGTGCCCCCTAATGGAATAGAGATGGTACAATTTTATAGCACCATTTTAATTCGTTTTAAAAATGTAATTTTGTAAGTCCTCTTTTTCTCTCTTGGGCCAACAGATATTTTATCTGAGAAAGAACTGGCGGCAATCCAGGAATTGTGCTTATAAATTGCTACGGGCAACCTGTGCTGGCAGGAGAAGACCAGACGCCCGACAGAAACAGGTCCGGTAAGGAAATCAGGTCACCAGTGTTTGCGATGTCAGATGGGGCCATTCACCTCTCGTCTAGTGTTCTGACAAAGCCAATGGTTCCTCAGAACATCAGAAATCCAAGAATAGACTGAGGTAAAGATAAATCTTAGGAAAGGGAAGCTATTTTAATTGAGTGATCCTTTGTCAAGTCAAAACTTGACTGAAGATAAATCACCACCGTAGTGACAGAACCTGAGTTGCCAGAGGACCTGGGTTTGGCAAATCTCTGCCATTAACAAACTTGCTGTACATCTACAGAGCAAGCTGTTTAACCTCTCCGAGTTTCTATTTCCTCATATGAAAACAGGCATAATAGTTTTTGCCTTGCCTGTCTCTGCTGGAACCCATTCCTTTTTAAAAAACATTTGGTACTTAAAAAAAAAACTATTATAAAAATGTTAACATTTGGAAAATTGGAGGTGAAGGGTAATCACGAATTCTTTGCATTATTCTTTTTTTTCCCCCCATCTTCAGATAGAGTGGGAGGGAGAGAGGGAGGAAGAGAGAGAGAGAGAAACATTGACGTGAGAGAGACACACATGGACTGGTTGCCACCCACAAGACCCCAACCAGGGCCGGGGACAAACTGCAACCAAGGTACGTGCCCTTAGCGGAAACCAAACCCAGGACTTTCTGGTCTGCGGGCTGACACTAACCACTGAGCCAAACCAGCCAGGGCATCTTTGCACTATTCTTGCATCTTTTCTTAAAAAAGTAGGAAATTATATCAAAATTAAAAATTGTAATTTTAAATTGGTAAAATGTGTACATGACCAAAAATTCAAATAGAAAAGGGCAGTCAGTTCAAAGTAAGGCTTCCTCTCCTCTGTCCTGTCCATCCACCTCCCAGTTCCCCTCCCCAGAAGCAATGGCTCTGGCCAGCTGCTTTTGCACATCCTCAGAGATGTCTATGTAATTGAAGCACATCTGTAACTTATACCCCCCTCTTTATGTACCTGTACCACGCTTTTTTCATGTAACGATACTTGAAGATCATTCCACATCAGCAGATATTGATTTTTTTTTTTTTTTTTTTTTTTTAATCCTCACCCGAGGATATTTTCCATTTTTTGTACAGATAGAGTGGGAGGGAGAGAGAGGAAGGGAGAGAGAGAAACATCGACGTGAAAGGGACACATCGAGTGGCTGCCACCCGCACGACCAACCAGGGCCAGGGACAAACTGCAACCGAAGTACGTGCCCTTAGCGGGAACCGAACCCGGGTCTCTCCGGACCGCAGGCCGACGCTCTAACCGCTGAGCCAAACTGGCCAGGGCAGCAGATATTGATTTTTGGTGGTGCAGTAACCACTACTTAAATTTAATACTCCCTAGACACGAAGGTCTTGCTTAAGCCATAACAATTTTTCTAAAAAGCATAATTCAAAATATATTATGCCTTCAGATGCTCAACTGCATTTTTAAAAAGTAAAAACCCGGGAAATGACCTAAATGGCCATCAATAGAAAACTTGGCTCGGCTGGTGTGGCTCAGCAGTGGAGCGTGGACCTGTGCACCAAGAGGTCGCCGGTTCACGATTCCCAGTCAGGGCACATGCCAGTGGGGGGCATGCAGGAGGTGGCCAGTCGATGTTCTCTCTCATCGATGTTTCTATCTCTCCCTCTCTCTTCCTCTCTCTCTCAAATCAATAAAGAAAAACAATTAAAAAAGAAAAAGAAAACAGCCCTGGCTGGTTTGCTCAGTGGTTAGAGCGTCAGCCTGCGGTCTGGAGAGACCCGGGTTCGGTTCCTGCTAGGGGCACGTACCTCGGTTGCAGTTTGTCCCCAGCCCTGGTTGGGTGGTGTGGGTGGCAACCACTCGATGTGTCCCTTTCACGTCAATGTTTCTCTCTCTCTCTCCCACTCTCTCTGAACAAAATATCGAAAAATGTCCTTGAGTGAGGATTAAAAAAAAAGAAAAAGAAATTAGGCCATGTATATATGATGGACTTCTCTGCTGCCACTAAAGACACTGGGAGGGGAGGCTCTGAAACAACAAACACTACTTGTGATAACATGCTAGCAAGGGGGTAACACTCAAAAATACCAAGTACCGCCCTGGCCGGTTTGGCTCAGCGGTTAGAGCGTCGGCCTGCGGTACAGAGAGACCCAGGTTCGGTTCCCGCTAAGGGCGCGTACCTCGGTTGCAGTTTGTCCCCGGCCCTGGTTGGTCGTGCGGGTGGCAGCCACTCGATGTGTCCCTTCACATCGATGTTTCTCTCTCTCTCTCTTCCTCTCTCTCCCTCCTGCTCTATCTGAACAAAAAATGGAAAAATGTCCTCGGGTGAGGATTAAAAAAAAAAAAAAATACCAAGTACCACATTTATACAGCTTTTAAAAAATTAGAAAAAATATCCTAAAATTGTAACGCTTGACTACATGTTAGGTGAACCCATGGGTGACCGCTTGCTCTTAATCTTCCAGATTTTCTACTGGGGAAGCAACAGGGAAAGGGTGCCCTGGCCGGTTTGGCTCAGCAGTAGAGCATCCGCCGCTGGTCCAAAGAGTTGTGAGTTTGATTCCAGTCGAGGACACATACCTCAGTTGCAGTTCGTCCCAGGCCCTGGTTGGTGTCATGCGGGAGGCAGCCAGTCAATGCGTCCCTCTCACATCAATGTTTCTCTCTCTCTCCCTTTCTCTCCCTCCTCCTCTATCTGAAGATAAACAGAAAAATATCCTCAGGTGAGGATTTAAAAAAAAAAAGGGGGGGGGGGTGCTAACATTTAATATGGATCTGTTATGTAATACTGTTCTAGACAGTTTATGAAAATTATTTCCCTTAATCTTCTCAACCATACTAGGCATGCTCTTTTCCTCTTCAGTGTAGAGAATGGGAAATCGGCTCTGAAAGGATAGATGCTTTGTCCAAGGTCACGGATGCTGGATTTGGTTGAGATTTGTCTGACTCCTGGGTCTCTGCTCTTTCATACTCTTCTATGCTACCTCTAGTACAATAGTTCTTGACCTAGTTTTTCTGCACCCCAACACACCTGAGGGATATGACACACTCCCTCCTACCAGCTTAGTGCCTCACGATGGCAGTGATTCTCACTGGGGTTGAGGCCTCTCCAGCAGTTGGGAAAACGCCCCATAGGAATCCAGATTGGCTACCCTGGGTGGAGGTGATACATCTCCTCTTTGAGAATCATACATCTAGTTCTGTTGTAATGTGGTTGTACAGTGTTAATTCCATCATTTAGAAATATTTTAATTATTGAAAAGTATTTCCTGACTCTAATGGCAATTCTTGCTGATTACAGAAAATACATAAAATCACTCTCATCCCCAGTAGAGTATAATCACCATTAGCATTTTTGTATATTGCCTTCTATTATTCCTTCTATGCAAATACTATATGGCTTTTTTTAAAAATTAAGCAAATTGGCATCTTATTTTTTTTTCTCTTAACAATACAGATACAGGGCTTTTGGGGGGGAATCCTTAAAAATTATGTATAAACAGCTCCATATAACTGCTTTTTCAAAGTTCTTAATTATATTAGTTTTTTAAAACTGAATTTCATTTAGTTTCCCTAAGCAAACCTCAAATGAAAACATGACAGATGGTTATCTTCTGTTTTCTACTAGGAGACTAGAAACCCAGCTCCTCTTCAGAACCACACAGGGAGCGCTGTTAAATACAGAAAACCGAGTTCCTCACACCTGGACCTGGTGAGTTGGAAACATCCAGGGATCCAGTCCAGTCCACACTCCTGCTCAGGCAACCACAGACATGCCGAAGTTGCCACTCAACAGAAACACATACACACCCTCCTCCTCAGAGTGACACTAAATCTATTCTTAATATACTGACATCTTCAAATATTTTAAACTCGGGGCTGGTCGGTGTGGTTCAGTGGATTGAGCATCTGTCCCATGGACTGAGAGGTCCTGATTCAATTCCCAGACAGGGCACAAGCCCAGGTTGTGGACTCGATCCACGGTGGGGGTGTGCAGGAGGAAGCCGATGTTTCACTCTCACATCAATCTTTCTATCTCTATCCCTTCCTCTCTCTCTAAAATATCAAAAACATTTAAAAAAATAAAATAAATATTCTAAACTCATAATTCATCGACTGTTGGTCTATGAGGTATATAAATGGGTTTTGCCCAAAATATAGCAATAGCTACAAGAAATTATAAATCATGCCACTACTTTCTGTTACCTTTCCTTAACGTCCGCGGAAATCTGAGTTGGGAGATGGACTGCTAAGTGTAAATCTGGGATTGCAGAAATAAAGGTAACCGCAGGTCATAAATTTTCTGAGCCACTTAAGAAACTTCACTACACATTACCATAGGGGCATCATAAGACAAGACATAACTGAATCTGTGGAACAACAAATATCTTGTGCTACCTTCAGGAGTTTAAAAACAAATACACACAAAAACATCAGTAAGATGTGAAAACCTAGTGGTTTCCCATATAATTTTCAAATCTAACACTTTTGTTTTGGTGGGTCAGTTTTCCCATATAATTTTCAAATCTAACACTTTTGTTTTGGTGGGTCAGTAACCTTGATAGAGTAGGGTAACTGAAATATTTTCATGGTTAAAACGATCTTTGATCAGTTGTTCCCAAATTTCCACGTCTAGTTAGTTCCCAGAATTCTTTTTTCATAGAAAATGATAAGCTCTTGCCCTGGCCAGTTTGGCTCAGCAGTTAAAGCGTCGGCCGTGGACCAGAGAGTCCCGGGTTCAGTTCCTGCTAGGGGCATGTACCTCGGTTGCAATTTGTCCCCGCCCAGTTGGGACCGTGTGGGTGGCAACCACCTGATGTGTCTCTCTCACACCGATGTTTCTCTCTCTCTTTGCCATCCCCCCCCACCCCCCGCTCTATCTGAAGATGAATGCAAAAATGTCCTCGGGTGAGGATAAAAAAAAAAAAGAAAGAAAATGATAAGCTCTTCATCATCCTGTCCACCAGAAGGTTTGATTCCTGGTCAGAGCACATGCCCAGGTTTCAGGTTCAATCTCTGGTCAGGGCGCTATTGGGAAGTGGCTGATCAATGTTTCTGTCTCACATGGATATCTCTCCCTCTCTCTCTTTCTCTCTCTCACTAAAAAAAAAACAAACAAACCAAAACAAACATACAAACAATGGAAACATGTTCTCAGTGAGGATTAATAAAAAACTTTAATAAATGTCTTTTATCATTTTAAAACAAACAAAGAAAATGATGAGCTCAAAAGGCTATCTGTGAAATCTCAAAAAGGACAATCACATAGTAGGATGCCATATTTTCCAACTTTATTTTAAAAATTAACAAGTCCATCAGAAAAAGTTGAGGATTCATGCCAAGATAGTAACAATTACAGGGATTACAAACTCCAGATTCAAATACTGTTTATCTACATATTTCCACCGGGATGGCCCAAATATATTCAAAACTGTGCACGCCTTTACACCCTACTCTTAGTCTACTTACCATTGAAACCTGTTTTTCCTTCTTACTCCAAATATAGGGTAAAGGTGCCAACACCCACTTAGTCTGCCAGGCTAGAAATCAGAGTTCAACATCCTTCATTTGGCCTGCAATGCACAGCTTAAATGTCACTTCCCCATGGAAGCCTTTTTGGGTCCCTCAGAAATGGGCTCTGCTCTCACATACTGGGCATATTTCCCTCATAGCAAAGCTGCCACATGTAAGCTGAGCATTCTCCACCTCTCTGCGCCTCATTATGCACATCATGAAACAAGTACATAAGCAAAGTGCAAATTTACCACCGTTAAGTGTTTAGAATGGTGTCTGGTGTATAGTCAACAACCAATAAATGTAAACTATTATTATAGTTGTACCAGAAGTGAGAACTCTTTTAACAGCAGGTAACAAATGATTAATAGTTATACAAACAAGTCACTGTAAAGTCATAATTTACTTATAATCTGCTAATGGTGTAATTATTATCTATTAAGGTAGACTGGGAGCTCTGTATAGGAAAAGAGTGTATTTGCCTTGCTCATTCCTCTAGCCACACATTACTTTTTTTTTTTTTTTTTTTTTTGGTACTTGCCCCTAGCAGGAACCGAACCCAGGATTTGCTGGTCCGCAGGCCAATGCTCCAACCGCTGAGCCAAACCGGCCAGGGCTAGCCGCACATTTCTTACCGAGGTAGGCAGAGGAGGTGTTTTTGTTGAATCAGTGAGTGAATTTTAGGTTCTATATCCCTTCAACCACCAAATTCTGTGTCTTCTGCCTCCTCAATAGCTCTCTGATCTTGTTCTCTGCATCCCACTCTAAGTGATCTGTAGCTCTCATCATCCCTCCTAAGTGATCTATCACAGCAGTCTACTCCTGGTCTTCCTGCCGCCAGTTCACCCTCCACATTCTATCTCCACAAAAGATAGAGTTTCTTTTTAAAATCCTCACGCGGGGATATGTTTTTATTGATTTATTTTTAAAGAGAGAGAGAGGGAGAAACATCGATTGGCTGTATGAGAAACATACACACCCCAACGGGAGATCAGCCCATAACCTGATTATGTACCCTGACCAGAAATCAAACCTGTGGCATTTGGGTGTACAGGATGAGGCTCCAAACAACGGAGCCACATCAGCCAGGGCCAGATGAAATTTTTTAAATGTGAATCTGATTCAGTCATTACTTTATTAAGAGTCCTTCAGTGAATACTCACTACCTAGAGTAGCAGTCTCCATAGAAGTGTGTATGTGTATTCCCACAGGGCTTGTAATAATACCCATTAGGGTGTGAGAAGAAAATATTAGAATCTCTATTTTTATTTTTTATTTCTATAACAAACACTACTAAAACCTAATTTATTTAAGATTGGTGCTAGAGCCCTGGCCGGTTTGGTTCAGCGGTTGGAGCGTCAGCCTGCAGTACAGAGAGACCCGGGTTCGGTTCCCGCTAAGGGCACATACCTCGGTTGCAGTTTGTCCCCGGCCCTGGTTGGTCCTGCGGGTGGCAGCCACTCGATGTGTCCCTTCACATCGATGTTTCTCTCTCTCTCTTCCTCTCTCTCCCTCCCGCTCTATCTGAATAAAAAATGGAAAAATGTCCTTGGGTGAGGATAAAAAAAAAAAAAGATTGGTGCTAGGAAATGTATATTATATTTGGGGGGGTATAGGCTTAAAATTTATCCCAGCGAAAATCAGTTATGTGGAAAGTATTTAAGGGTACAATTTCTAATATGCTCACTATACAAAGAATTCCAGTCTAACACAACAATAGTATTTGATACTAGCTAATCACCGCCCCAAACTGGTTACAGTGAAGTTTGTTCAAATTTAACACTCCTTGTTTATCAAGGACCCTTCAATTATATAGTATAACACACCAATCAAAACACACAGGAAGAACCGGAAGCCACTGAAATGAAGGAACCTCCATACATACTTGCTCCGTGGGGAACAGGGTATTGATATACTCCACAGCATTGAAATCGGCTCGATCTAGAGGATCCTGGCTTGGAAATACCTACGTAAAGATAGGGGATTAGAAATAACTGTCATCTTTCTGTCTTTTTCTATGTATTATTTCTTTCCTCCTTACTGGTAAATTCTTTAAAGACAAAAAACAAATTTTTTCATTTTATAAGGCGTCACACACAACAGATGCTCAATAAAATATCTGTTAAAGTAAATCTTTAATTTTCACCGACATCTATAATTTTAACATCGTAGATCTTGTTGCAATGAACAGAATCCACAACAGTGAAAAGTTCCACAGAGCTCAACAAAATCCCAACAATAAGGAAAAATAAGTGGGCATTGCACAAATCAGATTAAACCAGCTGATGACATGGTTGTATTAAGGAAGTCTTGGTAAGAAGCTTATGCACAACATCTCAGCAATAGAATTCACTATGCATTGAAGCAATGTTTATGTTTTAGACAGTGTCAGGAAATGAAGAGCTGGCAATCAGGAACTGTGTATCTCTAACAGAAAAAGAAGAATGCTGCCTTCTGAGAAACAGTTAACTCCCTTCAAAAGTTACAACCTGAATAAGGTGGATTATAAAAGTAGTCAGGTAATTCCATGGGTAGTAAATTTCACCAGCTCAATACAGTTATTCTAGTTAGCAAATTCTTTTGTGATGTCTGCTTATTAGGGAAACCTGTGCTAGAACTCGTTATTATTATTATTATTATTATTATTATTACTATTTTGAATCCTCACCCGAGGATACTTTTCCATTTATCTTCAGATAGAGTGGAGGGGGAGGAGAGAGAGAGAGAAACATCCATGTGAGAGAGGCACATCGATGGTTGCCTCCTGAATGACCCCAACCAGGGCCAGGGACAGAACTGCAACCAAAGTACGTGTCCTTGATTGGAATGGAACCTGCGACTCTTTGGTCCGTGGTCTGACACTCCGATTGCTGAGCCAAATCGGCCAGGGCAGAACTCAATATTATTAACAGTAAAAATGTGCTCTTTTAAAATCCTTGTCAACAGCCCTGGTCGGTTTGGCTCAGCAGTTAGAGCATTGGCCCTAGGACCAATAAATCTTGGGTTTGATTCCAGTCAAGGGCACGTACCTCGGTTGGGGTTCGTCCCTGGCCCTAGTTGGGGTCATATAGGAGGCAACCAGTTGGTATGTCTTTCTCACATCTCTCTCTCTCTCGTTCTCTCTCTCTCTCTCTCTCTCTCTCCATGTCTTCCTCCCTCCCACTCTATCTGAAGATAAAATAGAAAAATATCCTTGGGTGAAGATTACAAAAATAAACAAAATTAAATTCTTGTCAAATAATAACTGACTATATGATTTGTTTCTTCTATTAGAGCCTATTAGGTTCAAAGGGCATATGAAATGTATGTCATTTTCTTGGCCAAATGGAGGTGGTTGGGGAGCAGTGTGGCCTGAACACCAAAACCTTTGCCCAACAGGCTGGCATCCTCAAGGTGAGCCAAGTGAACTTTATATGGGTAATTCAACCACTCCTAGAAAAACACACATCCAAAAATCTATAAATGGGACAATACAGGTAAGTGACTTAGTACACATAGTAAGTGTTAATGTTCAATAAATATTAACTATTAGTATATTATTGTACAAATAACATTAACTAACAGTAATATTTTACTTTAAATGGGCAAAACCCCCTTTTCTTAAATATCCCTGTCAATTATTTTAAGAGATCTTCCCCCTTTATCAGGAGCAATACCCTACAAGGGTCCAAATCAGCGATTTCAACCTTTTTCATCTCATGGCACACACAAACTAATCACTAAAATTCTGCAGCACAACAAAAAATATTATATTTTTTGCCTATCTGACAAAAAATAGATGTATAATTTTTATTCTTTTACACCGGATGGCTATTGCTGTGTTGGCTGTTGTCATTTTTTTATTTGACAATCTAAGGGAAAAGAGGTCAGTGACTCTGACTATAAATAGTCAGGTATTGCATGTTTTAAATATTCTTGGGCACCAGTTAAAAATCGCTGGTCTAAATCACTATTTTTAATAGCATTACTCTTCTTAAAAACCTCAATAAACATGAAAAGAGAATTCAATCAACTACAGAGCCCCTTCGGGAAAGGGAGGCCTCCTGGGACTATTCTTCAACCTGACCCAAACCAATCAACTGCAGGATTCTCAACCATTTAAGTATGGTAAAGGGGTCCTTTTCCAACTTTTCCCCCTCTCTCCGCGATCCTCTTCGGAAATAAAAAAGTTTCGCCCTCCCCTCAAGTCGGAGTCACTCACAAGAGGCTAAATTCAGTCTCGGGAGCAGCGGCACACCGGCCTGGTAAATGAATGAACGGCTCCACAACCCCCAAATCTGAGGTAGCTACCCATGAGGTCCCACCTTCCAGGTTCATCCTTTCGGGAAGCACACTTTGCCCAAACGCACCAGGGTACCCCACCTTCCAGACCATCAAGGCCTAGAGAGGGCTCTCTCCCTTCCCTAGAATCAGAAACCCCTTTCCACCACCACCTCCCCCTAAACCGTTCCTTCCCCTTCAGTGCCTCGCTCCCACCTCTCTGTCCAAAGCCCGCTCTTCCCGGTGCCACCCCAGGTGCCACGCCAGGTCCCACCCCCAGAGCTGCCGAGTCCTCCGCACTCTCCTCCCTCAGGGGGCGGAACGCTCACCTGCTCGATGGCGAGCTGCACGTCGGGCGTGAGCTGCAGCACGGCTTCCAGCTCCTCCACGAACTCCAGGTCCTCTTCCTCCATCATCCCGCCGCCCTGCTCGCTCCGACGAGCTCCCCCACCCCGAGCCGGACCTCCTGCTGTCACCCACGCCGCAGAACTGCAAACCTCCCCGTGCAGCGCTCAAGCAAGCTGTGGCTCTGTCAGCTAGCCGGGAACTTCCGGGAAGCCAGGCACTTCCGGGGTCCGGGGCGCTCTAGGATAGCGGAGGACTGACCTCTGGTTGCCGGGAGGAGACATTGCTGTCACGTCCCGGGAATCTTGCGGGAACGTCCTATAGTCCGGCGTCCCCTACCTGACCTCTCAGCTCTCCTTAACATGGTGGGGGCCCTCGTCACCCCACCGAAGGGCCCTGACATTGTGAAGGGCCTGGCCTCCCCTGCAGGACCCCCAGGGAGGGTGAGCCCAGCACCGTGGGACCGACCGACAGCAACCCCCACGGGCCTCGAAGCCGGCGATCCTTCAGCTCCCAGGGCCCCCTTGGTCAGTGGCAGTAGGTGTCCCCCTATCGTCCGGGAAGAAATGACCCCAGCTGGTAAGTGGCGATGTTGCCAAAGACAATATGTAGGATGGGACAGCGTCCACTTTCGGAGTTAAGTTCCCCGTGTGTCAAGCCTCTAGGCAGAGATTTCTGGGGGGTATCTGCAGCTTCCTCCTTGGGGTGGTGGTAGGGGGAGATCCAGCGTAGTCGCCCTGAGACTGAGACTGAATAACTGGAGTCCAAGTCCCAGCCCACCACTGATAAGCTGTGTGATCTTGAACAAATTACTCCATCTGCTTATGCTGCAAGAACTGTGGCTAGGGTTAAATAGAAAAAACACTGTGAAAATTTAAGCTAGTAATACAGGTAATCTAGGGTGTCTATTTCTTATGCACCACAGAAGAAAAAAGGTCAGATCACCCTGTGGAACCACTTTCTCCCCAGATACTGAAAACAAAAGAGAATTGCAACCAAAGAAAGAGTTGCTTTACCAGTTAAACTTGTGAAATTCCACAATGGAAGATTCCCTGGCCCCTCTGAGCTTTTTTTAAAAATATGTTTTCTGTATTGATTTTTAGAGAGAAGAAGGGAGAGGGAGAGATAGACAGAAACATCCATGAGAGAGAACATCAATTGGCTGTCTCCTGCATGACCCCCCTGGGGATCGGGCCCACAACCTGGGCATGTGTTCCAACCAGAATGGAACCAGCGACCTCTTGGTACATGGGTAGATGCTCAGCCATTGAGCCACACCGGCCAGGCCCCTCTGAGCTTTATTTAAATTTTCATTTTATCAAAGTTGTAGTAAAGGAAAGATGGAAGCAACATAATTTATAACAATAAAGGCTTAATATATTAATCAGCTGTACAATAGAATATTATTGATTCATAAAATCATAGTTTTTAAAATTATTTAATGACATGGAAAAATGTCCATAAAATATATCAAAGCAAAAAATATATTTCAGAAAGCAAAAATGTACAGCATGGTCCCAGTTTATATGTGTGCATATTTTGTACCTATAAAAACAATAGCAAAGAGATAGTACTTCTCTGCAGGTGATGGAATGTACAGTCTTTGTACATTTTCCCAAAATGTCTACAGTGAGCTTAAAGTACTTTTATAATTAGGAATATAAATGCCCTTTTAAAAAAAGAAAGGAAAAAAAGAAAAAGGTAATATCCACCTGTCTTGGATTTTTTTTACCTTAAGAAATGATTTACATACATACAGTACAGTTCACCCATGTATTTTATAATGATGTGAGTTTTGATAGCTGTTTATAATCATGTAACCACCATTACAATCAAATCCTAGGACAGTTCCATCTTCTACACCACCCGCAAATTCCCTCATGCCTCACCCCACCCCGTGGCAACCACTGACCTGAATTCTGTTGCTATAGTTTGACTTTTCCAGAACGTCATATAAATGGAACATATGTCACCTTTTGAGTCTGGCTTCTTTCACTTAATATAATGCATTTGCATTTCATCATATTGTTGCGTGTATCAGCAGTTCACTTCTTCTTGCTGAGTGGTATTCCACTGTATGGATATGCCACAACTGGCTTACCTCTTTCCTGGTTGAAGGATATTAGGGTTGTTTCCAGTTTTGAGTGATGATGAATAAAGCTGCAATAAACATTCATGTGCAGGTTTTTGTGTACATAAGTTTTTATTTCACTTGGGTAAATACCTAGAAGTGGGATTGCTAGGTTGTATGGTAAGTGTGTGTGACTATAAGAAACTGGTCAATGTTTTCTGATGTAGCTATATTATTTTTTGCATTGTTACCAGCAATGCATGAGAGTTCTGGTTGCTCACAGAGCTTATGTTTAATGATCATAATAATAACAACTAACATTTCCTAGCTCTTACTATATGCCAGGTACCCTGCTAAACATGCATTGTCACTTTTAATCTGCATAGCAATTCTGAGGTTGGTAGTTATTATCATTATCTCCATTAACAGATGAGAAAATGGAGATGTAGTTAAAAATGAAACAAAAACTTTCCCAAGTTCCCACAGCTAACTCCTCCTGCCATTCACTTATTCATTCACTACATTTATTGAATTTATTGAATGAGTGATTGAATGTTCCTGCTGGTGATAGGCACTAGGTTAGGTGCTGGGAATTTATCAATCAACAAAATAGACCAATGCCTGCCTCCATGGAGCTATTTGCATGTATGAAAAGGGTATTTATACAAGTAAACATGTCATGGTGATAGGCCTAATAAAAGATAAATAAAGCATGTGTTCAGAAATTATAGTGATAGAGTGTTCTGGTTGGTCAGCAACGGCTTCTCTGAGGAAATGATTTTTAAGCTGAAGCAAAGGGTTGGAGGATGGGAGTAAGGGATGACAGATGAAAGGAACAGTATATGCAAAAGTCATGAAGATGGAAGAAATTGGCCAGGTGGTGGGACTTTGAAAGCCAAGGGAAGAGTGGTATAAGAAGAGGCTGGAGAAATAGTACGATGGTGGAGGCTCTTCAAGGTCATGTTAAGGAATGGAAAACCTTTGAAGGATTATAAGCAGAGGAGTGACGTGACCAGATGTACCATGCCTATCATCAGCCCTAGTCCCCTCATTTTTGTTTTCTCTCTTTCTGAGCAGCCCACATTGTTACAGAGAGTCACATAACCAGGGTGACCATCTGCAGTAGAAATTCATGCTGCCCAATTGCCACTGATGGTCCTTTTACACATCCACTGTCAACTCTCAGTTGCATTCCTTCTGCAGCCCAAAACCTTTCTCTACTGGGAAGTTCTCAATTCCATCATTTTTTCCTCTTCTCCCCTTTGCAGATAAGATACTAATAATGAATGTAAGTTACACAGTACAAAAATTGTAGGAATATAAAAGAGCAAAGATGCAAAAGAGGTGGATACTATGTTTTAAAAATACTGCATTAAGCCTGGCTGGTGTGGCTCAGTGGTTGAGCATCAACCCATGCACTGGTTTGATTCCCAGTCAGGGCACATGCCCAGGTTGTGGGCCTGATCCCCAGTGGGGGGCATGCAGGAGGCAGCCAATTGATGTTCTCTCTCATTGATGTTTCTATCTCTCTCTCCCTCTCCCTTTCTCTCTCTAAAATCAATAAAGAAAAAAATTTTCTTTACCAAAAAAAAAAAATACTGCATTAAAATATGTAATAACAGGCTAGACTGATTTGTTTATGATCAGCAAAGGAGGGAAATGCTTTTAATAGGTGGGGAAGCCTGGAAAGACAGATTGTACCCTTTTAAGATAAATAAAATATGAACGTTTACAAACATGGACTTTTTGAACAATTACCTGTTATGCTGTGGGATAGGGTACAGATGAGGACAAAGTATCACAGAAAATACATTTTCTACCTTGAAATTTCACCAAATGAGGCATAAATTCAGTCTCTAATATTTAAACACACACACACACACACACATACACACACACACAAACCTTGGAGACCCTATCCTTTAGTAATAGGTGATCGTAAAGGATGGATTGGAAAAGAAGTACTATAACAGGCTGTAGGGGAGCCATGGGGTGCATCTCTGAGATTAGCATCAGAATCAAAATGGAAAAAAAAACCATCACCCCCAAATAAGAAATTTTCATAATGATTCTCATTATGCCAAAAAAATTGTAAAGTATATAGGATGGAAATATTAAGTAGTTTAAAACAGCCTTTGTTAATGAAATCCAGTAAGATCTCTAAATTTCATGTGCCTCTGTCAATTCACTTGACAGAGTTTCTTTCTAACTCTATTAAAACAAATCTCCAGTATCCTGTTATATTTGCAAATAGTTTCATTGTTTGTGAAGTACTAGGATATATTAAGTAGACATTGTTCAGATTGTGTTATTTTATAAGATCCAGACAATGTCTCTATTCCATTTAAGCTTCCCTCTCTGTCATGACCTTCTCCTAAACATCTGGGTTTTTTTGTTAAACTTATTTTTAAAAAATGCAGGATGTCTGAATTACCTGATCCTAATGCCAGGAGCATAGCCCCTTCTTCCAACATTGTGATAACCAAAAACGCCCCCTACAAATTTCCACAGGCCCTCTAGGACTCTCAAGCATTATCACTCTTAGATCCTGGTGTCCCTGTGGGTGATGAAAGCTCCCTGGCCAACTTGTAGTGGAGGAACAGAGTTTAATTTCTACATGAAATCTTGTTCAAAATGTTTTCTTGGCACTCCTTTATGCACTGTTTTTAGTACATGGCTTTTCATGATGACAGGTTCTTTTGCTGTCTTTCATTCCTGAATTTTCTGAATACCCTGGACACTGGCATTTGTTCCTGACTGATGTTCATATCATTCTGAATGTTTCCCTATCCTGAACACCCAGTTTTGTTTTGATTGGTACTCTGGTTCCCTCGCATGCCCAGTCTTGCTAAACAGATCATAATCTCCATCTAGCTTCAGTAGCTCGCCTGTTCCCACGGTCATAGCTCAGGCATTCGGTCCTGCGTGTGTGCTAGCTCCCAGATGCTTTTAAATTAGACCCCTTCCCCATTGGCTACATTGGGTTCATATTCAGTAATTCCTTTATTTACTCAACAAAGTGGTCATTGTATCGGGCAAAATGACAACTCCTTTTGCGCAAGTCTCACACATCACAACAAATATAAAAACACTTGTTTTATAAAATTGACATT